CATTTTAATTCTAACAAACCTTCATAATTCCGTTCAGAGAATCGTTCTGCAAATTTCGAAGGCAGATTCGAGATCAGCGTCCAAAACCACGTCTAGTGAGCTACATCTCATTACAAATGGCCACTTCGACCTGACGACCTTCCCTAGTAGATTGCTCGGTCGGTCCACTGAAACGTGCGGGACTCGAACCACGTGCGGGTTCGAGTCCCGCCCGTGGTCCGACTTTTGCCCACAACTCAGCATTCTTGTGAAAGTACAGTGTAATGAACCTATGCTTAGCATGAAGTGAGTAATAATTGGCATTTCTCTTCTTCCTGTCCTTGTTATGTATATGTACGTTATGGGTATTTCTTTTGAGGTCTTCTTCAGATAGTGGAACAAGGCTTATGTATGTAGGCTTATAAGGCTTATGTATTGCCTTATCTGGATTACTGCTCGCAAGTCTGGAGCCCCTCCCTCAAGAAACAGACTCGCAAAATCGAGAAAATTCAGCATACGTTCACAGAGAGTTTTTCATAGAATGAAGAATAGCGTAGGTTGGCAAAATATGCCCAGCTATAGCGATCGCATTCGGCAATTAGGTCTAACGACATTATTGCATAGGAGAATTGTTTCTGACCTTGTTTTCTGCTATCGAATACTTCGCTTAGAAACTAAACTTCACCCAGTAAATACTGGATTTTCATGCCCAGTAGAGAGCGAGCCGGAGGTTTCAATCTTCACTATGCGAAGATTATCTGAAGGAACCGAAATCATTTATTCAATTTTGTCCTTTACAGTGCGGCTAGGTGGCTTCAAATGTTACCTAATGAGGTAATGGTTTCTGAAAATAGCAAGGTGTTCGAGAAAAGGCTGCAACAATTCAATCTGCCTCAAATTTTGGGCTTTGAAAATCTTTACTGAATTCTTTTTAGCCATGATATGTCCCGAAGAAGATCTACAACAAGGTCTGGCATGGAGAAGTTGGAAACGAGCACATGCAAACATTATATAGGATCATGGTAAACTACAAATGGGCATCTCATTATATGTGTATTAATGAGTAAAGGAAATAAATGTCCCTGAATTCCTCGGATAACTGGTTCAGGCCTCTGCATTGTCGAGCATCTTTTTTCCCA